AGAGATGGAGTGTAGCAGACGGCTTGCAAGTCCATGGTGTAGGAAGGGCAAAGTCTCACGAAGGTGGAGTCGATGATCTGAAGGAGCCCGGTGAAAAGTCATAAGATTGATGGTCCCTGGTGGACCCGAGGGAGGAAGGAGTGAAGGCAGAGGAATCAGGGCGATGGGCCGAGGTAGAGTGACGGGATCAGCGGCCAGATGCGGAGCCAGGAGATCCATGTGCCCAAGAGGAGCTGTCTCCTGAAGGCCCGAGGTGGATCCACACCACTGAGAGGAGACAAATGAGACAGCGGAGACTGGGTAGATGGACAGGCAGATTTTAGAAGAAGTGGCAGGAGAGGGAGGTTGGGTGGGTACTCAGGAGAACAGCAGCTAAGCAGAATTAGCAAGGATTCGGGAAGTTCAGGAGATGCAGAATATATAGAGTCTTAATTCGGGTGAGAGTGGAGGGGGCAGGGAACCAACATCTCCAAAATCAAAACAGTCATTGATTAAAGTTTTCAGAAACTCATTGTCGGCAGTGGGAGTGTGGGTGGGGCTCCTTTCCATCCCCTCGTATTCCACCAATACTCTCACGATGATGAATGGTGTTGCCGGCTCACATACCTGATCAGACTTGTTAGGCTTGGGCGCCGGGATGGTGATAAACTCCGGGATGGTCGCTCCTTCATGCACTGGCTCACACAATGTGGTGGGCTTGGGCTCTCTGTGTGTGGTGGGCTCTGGCAGATGCTCCATGCAGCTGGGTGTTTTTTGGTTGGGCTCTGGATGGGGAGTGGGGCTGGCCTCCTCATTTGCTGGGCTGAATGTCATCGCTGATCCGCAGGAACTTAGCACCCACTCCAAGTAAGCGGTGAAGCTCTTTTGAGGTCTCTTCCCGGACAACTTGGCCTTAGTAGTGATTTTAAGTCCAGTGTGGAGGAATGTACAAAGGCAGTAGTCCGGGAAGTGTGTTTAGTATGCAAGATCTAAAAACTCTTTCAAATGGTCCTCAAGGGAGCGATCTCCCTGCTCCAGGCACAGAAACTGAACAGCGGGATTATCCATGTTTTTTAAACACAGGACGAGATGTAAACATCCTTTATGTGCGAACACGTACCAATTGAGTATTCTTGATCTTGACACCTGCATGTACTTTTATATTATTAAAAGATGGAATTATGGGAGACAGGTATGTAATCAAATATGGGAGAGTAGGTACATCATTTGGGTCATCAGGTGGGCTCC